TCCATCCACAAACTCTACAACCCTATCCAAGCATAGAACAAAACATAGCTATATTTCCACTATTTTCAGTCTAAAAAAATGATAATTTATTAATAAAAGGTCAAGTCAGTATCCTCAGCAGTAAATAAATGGAGAACTTTTTAAGATCAACTTAATATTTTAGTCGTTGTGATTGATGTAAGTTGACATGACAAGCAAAGCTTATTTGATTCAACTAAAATAATGAAAGCAGCAAAAATTCTTTTACAGTGCATGCTAATTGCTAGTTGCAATGGTTTAGCTTTTAAAATAGATCTATTAGGAGATTTTATATTAATTTTATTAGATTTTATATTTGAGTACAGCTTTTAGAAACAAAGTTTCAATTTTGGGTTGTGACATGCCAATTAGAAATCATTTTAAGGGTAAAACACTACAGATACTAAGGTTAAAATCATTAATATTCTACAAAATAAGTGTAACAACGGGGGGAGTGACAGAGACAACTGGAGGTAAGATCCACAATACAGGTTTATTCAGCATCAGGCAAGCAAAGATCAAACAGGTGCAAACGGGTATTTTCAGGCAGTCCAGAATCGTAGTCAGTATAACAGGCAACAGGCAGGCGGCTAAACAGGATAACAGGGAATACAAGGCTAGGATCTAAACACTAGGGATGGCTGACGTGAAACTGATGTTTCGACACAGTGTCGAGATCCCGAAGCGCAAGTGTTTCGAATCACTGCACCGAAGCATGATCCGAAGCACCCAAGTCACGTGACTAAAGTGTTTCGAAACACCTAGTCACGTGACTAAAGCGATTCAAAGCATCGATCAGCTTAGAAACGTTTCGAGACCTGGCGAATCCTAATTTGACTGCCAAGGTCTCCAAATTATCTCTGTATCATATGGCTTAGAGAACTGTGGGTTTGCTAATTGATTCTATGCTTAGCATGATGTTTTGGGTTCAAATCCCGACTTGTACAAATACTCTGAAATCATGGTTTTATGTATTTTAATCATGTTTCTGTTTTGTGTAGCCTAAATAGGATACAGCTACAGTTACGCCATCAATTTAGCATCATTTTTGTAAAACTGTAAAACAATAATAAATATTTTTACAGTATGGTTGGGTTTAGGGTTTGGGTAGACATTAATAAAATACAATAAATGGGAAATTTAATGAATAATATAAATAATTCTTGATAACTTCAGGTTACCGTTTTTGATCTAGCAACAACCCTGTTTTAAGACAAAAACAAGACATATTTATTCACAAATTGTTTATTCGGATATCAGACCAATGTTGAAACAAAACGATACAAGAGCAAAGCATTACCAACTGGTATTAAAGCATTTTAAAACAATTGCAACAGACTGGCTTCGAAACCTAATAATCCTGCATGGAAGTCTGACGCCTTAACCACTGTACTATGTAACGTGAAGGAATTCACGTACAAAGTAGGGTTTAATCGCTAAATTTGTTCAATCGTTCTTTGCTGAAGCTGCTTCAGTGCAATACATAAAAAATGACCACTAGATGTCACTGTAGAGTGAGGTTTCGAAACGTTTCGAAGCTTCGACACATTTGCTTCGACTGTTTCAGTGTTTCACGAAGCCTCGCTTTGCCCACCACTACTAAACACGGATAAACAAGACAGGGAGAAACACGTTGTAATGTCACTTATAGTTAACAAGACTCGGCAAACTAAATGAGTGGTTTATGTAGGGTGTGTAATCAGTCTCTGACAAGGCTCAGCTGGTGAGAATGTAATCAATCTTGATGAGTGAGCATGTTTGAGTGTAACCGGAGAGCATGTATGAATATGTAGTCCAGGGGAAGGCGGAAGTGTAGTCTTTAGTGTTCGTGTGAGAACCAGCGATCTCTGGAGAGCGAAATATAATACGAAAATAATAAAATTCACAAATCTTCTCAGTGACTGTGAAGGCTGAGTCAGGTGATTCAGTCACACCAGTCATTGGATGAAAAAATGCATGTCATTTTTAAGAAAATTATGAAATTAAGAGGGACAATTAATTAATTGACAATGTAAGTCTTTGACAACTGTTTGATTGACTTAATAAAAATTACTTTATTACATTTTATATAAACTGAAATAATATCAGGAAGAATGTCTTACAATCAGATTAAGAGCAAAAGATTCAAAGTAAATCGGCACACTGCCACTTTAGCTCTCAAATATTTTTTTAATGTCAATATCACAAAATCACAACGTTTCGACCGATGAAGACCATGTCAGTCGAAACGTTGTGATTTTGTGATATTGACATTAAAAATTTTTTTGAGAGCTAAAGTGGCAGTGTGCCGATTTACTTTGAATCTTTTGCTACTAATGTTTGTTTTTTGATCGTGCACCTGCCTTCAAGATTTTCTAGATGTGCGCACATTTCTGTTTTTTACATTCAGATTAAATCAACAAAAATCCTCCCGACACAACAAAGATGGCAAAGAAAAAAAGCCAAGTTAGCATTTAGATACATTTACTGTTTATTTATAAATTGACAAGACGTAGGAGGTGGCATGAATGCAATGAAATAATAATAAAAATGTCATGAGATTTGAAATTAAAATTGTCATAAGATGGAGTCATGTCTGCGTTTTTGTCACTGAATGATTTATTTAATAAAGTGTTAAGAACAGCTGATTCATTCACAAATGTCTTTCTGAATGGACGACTGAACCATTGTCTCAAATCAAAGCTCAGATTCATTCATAAACAAAATGCAGTATGGAGATGTACATCAGCTGAGCTGTTTGGAAGCATTTTCAAGAAAACGGAGCAACATTTGGACAACAGTGATTCATCACATCACTTGCGTTCTGATTTGAGGCATAATAATAACGGTTCAATTTAGAAACAGGGAACCCAGAATCTGCGGAACCTTAGATATTAATGGCGAAACTTGCATCGCTAAAGTAAATCAAGCCCCGTTAACTGTGTTTTACAGTTAATATAGAATAGCTTATGTTACACTCACATCAAGCCACCTAAACTGTTCTGAAATGCAGTTATGCACGGCAGGTACAGCATACATACTCACTTAAAACAGTTGTGGGTTAAATAATAACCCAATAATAGGTAACCCAATGATGAGTTGTTTTGGCACCGACCTGATGTTGGGTTATTTTAACCCAATCCATTGAGTTGTTAAGGTTAACCCTACAATTTGGGTTACAAAATAACAATATTGTTGGGTTAACCACTAATATCTCAAATGTGTGTATAATTTTCTCCAAAAAAAAAAAAAAAAACTGTACAAATGAACACGAAGGTAGAGAAAGCACTTTCATCCGTATATAGCTCGGCTAAGAAGCGTGCGTTTGTATCATCAAATTAAGAGTTCTGGTAAAACGGATATAAAAGACGTAACACGGAGAGGTAATTTGATAAAAAAAAAAAACAACATGTTGCGTTGAAGCTCAAATAAACTTTATAATGCAAAAACAACATTACGTATGCATAATAATACAGCTGTTCTGTCAGTTAAATCAGTTGAAATACAAAAATTTTAACCCAATAAATAACCTAACAAAGATAACACAACAAAGCACCAAACATTTAACCCAACTGATTGAGTTATAAATAAATAACCCAATAAAGGTTCAAAATAAACCAACAACGCACCAAATATTTTTAACTCAACTATTGGGTTAAATAAATAACCCGTCTTTTAGAGTGTATATAATATTAAACAACTCAATCTCATACCTTCAGTTCTCTTCTTTTTAAAGTTGCGCCTGAACTGCTCTCTAGACGTTTTGAAAATCGCACGAAATGACGCAATGAACTGTATTGCGCTTGTGCGTGACGCCTTATTACAATACTGACTTCTGATTGGTCAATCGTTGTTGTTTATAAGTCATAAATTACCATAAATGGAAAATTTTACTATTTATTTGCATGACAAGTATTACATTACACACACTGTTATTAATCTAAAAGGCATGGTAAGGGGAATGGCGGTTTTACAAAGGGGATTTTTTTTGTCATTTTTTTTCCATAAAGGGGATGCCATCCCCCTGCTTCCCCCTCAATTCGAGCACTATCGATAACCAGCAATGTAGCTTGAGTCTGTTCACAAAAATAAAAAAAGTTTCTCTTTTTGTGTTGCAAGAAAAGAACTAATGTGTTTTTAGGCTTTAGCTGAGAAATGAACATCACCTAAGATGAATTAAACCTTTTGTAATTTTCATTGGGAGTTTAATTCTGTTAAATAATGTCTTCCGTTAAACTTTTGGAGCCTTACTTATTGCACAGTGTTAACATACATTAGCTTTATCCAATTATTTGCCTTCAGCTTAGTCCCTTTATTCATCCACTGCGGAATGAACCGCCAACTTATCTAGCATATGTTTTACACAGCGAATGCCCTTCCAGCTGCGACCCAGTACTGGGAAACACCCATACACTCTTTCATTCACATACTCTACAGCCAATCTAGTTTATTCAAATCACATATACCACATGTCTTTGAACTGTGGGTCCAAAACCCACGCGAACACGGGGAGAACATGTAAACTCCACACAGAAATGCTAACTGACCTGGTCGGGACTCGAACCAGCGACCTTCCTGCTGTGAGGGGACAGTGCTAACCACTGGGCCATCGTGCCGCCCCAGCACTGTAAATAGTCACAGAATATTTCAGCATGTAGTGGTCAGATTAACCTGGGAAAATGTTCTTGTTGGAACTATTAAGCTAGCCAATTGAGTCTTCAAGTATTTGGCTCTGGTATGAACACCACTGCAAATCTAATGTGGATATTCTTGTAAAGCGCCCTAAAAGATTATAGAATTATTTACTGTATTTTGAAGTGCCCACAACATCAGTATCATGCATGTTCATTGTCATGATATAGTCAATTACTGAATATCGCCATATGTCTAGTGGGGAATGGTATCTCATTTTGTTTACGGAGTTTAAATGTGCACGTGTAAATAATATTAAGCTATAAAGATCAAAAGAGTTCCTCTTATATGTAATGATCTGTGTTGATCAGGTGCTGTGGAAGTGTCCCGCAGGAGTCCAGTGGCCTCATGGCTCTGTGCAATGCTATACTGCTTCGGGAGCTATATACTAGCAGACATCATGCTTGGCGTGTGTCCCATCGACTATTTCCATAACAATAGTCACATCCTCCTGGCCTCAGCTGTGTGGTAAGGATCTTTTAAATGCTTCATTTTTTTTAATGAAAGGTGCAATAGGAGATCTGCTAAGAATGCTAACGTCAGCCTGATAGCGCTGAAAACCTGTCCTACCCTGCAAATCACCATCTAAAGCAGGGGTTCTTTACCTTTTTCACTTCAGGGCTCACTTCTTTCTCCTATCAATTTTTAAAGGCCCACATGTCTGACATTTTCTCTACTATGTTTATATGAAAGGCTCATTAAAATCTTTATTTATTTACAGATATGTGAGAGAACCACAGGTCAACAGGGAGATTGTAAAAGAGCAGCTTCTGCTTCAAGCTGGACTGACTGAATATCTAATATTAAATATCTACTATATAAAAAAATACAGACAATTGTAATATACAGTAAACACCCTAAATCTGTTGAAATGCATCAATCTGATGGCAGTTGAGTTTGCAGCTGGGTATTATTGAGAGATCGCTGACAGAAACATTGAACTCCACCAGAGCACGTCTGAAGCACATATGCAAGTTTATTTTACATTATATGGCAGAAACACCATTTAGCCTTGCTAGATCCTCCACAAAAATACACAAAGAGAGACCTTCACTTTCACTTTACGCATAGTTTGTGAATGAACAGATCTACGTTTACTAGTTTCAGACGTGATCATGAGGCCATTTTTGAGCCGAGTTTGAAGTAAGCAATCAGTGAATGCCTCTTCAGTGATATTTTGGCGGTGTGCTTTGGGTCATTGTCCTGCTGGAAGATGAACCGTTGCCCCAGTCTGAGGTCAAGAGCACTCTGAAGCAGGTTTTCATTCAGGATGTCTCTGTAGATTGCTGCATTCATCTTTCCCTCTATCCTGACTAGTCTTCCAGTTCCTACTGCTGAAAAACACCCCCACAGCATGATGCTGCCACCACCATGCTTCACTGAAGAGATGGTATTAGCCTGGTGATGAGCGGAGCCTGGTTTTCTCCAAACATAAACGCCTAGCATTCACTCCAAAGAGTTCAATTTTAGTCTCATAAGATCAGAGAATTTAGTTTCTTATGGTCTGAGAGTCCTTCAGATGCCTTTTGGCAAATTCCAGGCGGGGAGTGTCTTCCGTCTGTCCACTCTACCATACAGGCCTGATTGGTGGATTGCTGCACAGATGGTTGTCCTTTTGTAAAGTTCTCCTTTCTCCACAGAAGAATGTTGGAGCTCAGACAGAGTGACCATCGGATTATTGATCACCTCTCTGACTAAGGCCCTTCTCGCTGATCACTCGCCGGCCAGCTCTAGGAAGAGTCCTGGGGTCTCATGTACGAAGACTTGCGTGGAAATCATACTAAAACATTGCGGACGCACAAAGCTGTAAATGTGCGTACGCAGAAAAAAATTCAGATGTATGAAACACTGCGTACGCCGAATCTCAGGCATATTCTTTTGTACATCCGAATGAACGTGAAACTGAGCGCAACATGCACGAGCACAAAACCCCTCCCTGCCTCCTCCCCCGTATGAATATGCTAATGACTACTTATGGCAAAACCGGGCAAAACCCAACGAAAAAGCAATGGCAAAAGCAAGCAAGAAGAGAAACTTTGAACAGAATGTGAATTGGAGGTGCTGCTTTCGGAGGTAGACCGGAGAAAAGCAGTGTTATTTGCAAGTTTGTTCTCCGGAATTAACAACAAAAGAAAAAATAGAGAGTTTAGCTGATGCGGTTAACACAGTTGGGTCTGAACATCACACTGAGTGAATTAAACCGAAAGAGTGTGATTTATAGGTGTAAAATGTTGCAGTATTAATGTTTCGGTGGCGCAGCTCAAAAGTCGCATGTCTACATGCTTTGACACGTTCGAGCATGATCTCGGTTCGAATCCAGCGTCCAATGAACTCTTTTTTCTTTATTTCCCCGCTACATATCAGATTTTGCCTACTATTTATAACGAGAAAGACAAGTAGGAATCATTAATAAGTTTGTGCATCATATTTTATTTGCACATTTATTGAATGGAAATGTTTCTGATTCACGCATGCAAATTCATCCTCAGATAGTGTCTTTATAGCAATGTGCGTGCAGTAGATAGCTCAGATTACATTGGGAAAACAGGAGACCGCTGCAATTTGCGCTTTAATGTTTAGCTGGTCAACTGTATGGTATGGAAACCTTATATACATGCTAGATGAACCTGTCACTTACAGCTGCCATTGCAAGGCTCAGACACTTTGTAGAGAGGAATTTAACACAACTGCCTCTAGGAGTCGCCAATGGAAATAAAACAGACACGCACAAAAAATGTGCGTACGCCAGCCAGAAAGCTGCCGTGAAGCTGCGCACATTCCTACAATCAGTTCATTGTTAGTAAATAATGTGGAATAAGTTTCACAGTGTAATACTTATTACTTTTGAATACTTTTGGAAAGACTCTTTACTCTATACTACTCATGAAGATACACACCATACTTCTCATACAGATGTTTTTATTCTACTTGCACTAGATTTTTGGAGCAAGCAATCGTACTTTTACTTGATTATGGTTTTTCTGTCCTCTTTCCACCACTTACTGCACTACATGGTGTTTTGCACACTACATGTGCAAATAATGTAAAGCATTTCTGCAGAACATTAAGCAGTTAACACATTTCTTCTTTGACAAGGTATCAAACTGCCCAGTTGTATTTAAAACCTTTTTTAAACCTTATTTCACCAACATGTGACTGTAAACAACAGGGTTCTTTGTGTATTAAGTTTTCTTAGAATGCGATTTTCTCCCTCCCTCCTTTTCAGGTACTTGATTTTCTTCTGCCCTCTTAACCTGTTCTACAAATGTGTGGCGTTCATGCCTGTGAAACTCGTGCTGGTGGCTTTGAAAGAAGTAGTCCGTACTCGTAAAATCGCAGCCGGAGTCCATCACGCTCACCATGCGTATCACCACGGCTGGCTGATCATGGTCATCACTGGTTATGTCAAGGGTAAGTATCTTATATCTCCAGAGGGATTTATTTTTGGTGGTCATGTAACACTTTGATAACACCCTTTAAAAACCCTTGTTCAGGAGATCTGTGCTCTGCTGTCTCTGTTAATATTCACAGGGTCAGGGGTTGCTCTCATGTCCAATTTCGAGCAGCTGCTGCGAGGAGTCTGGAAGCCGGAGACCAATGAAGTCCTGAACATGTCATTGTGAGTGGTCTGTTCATCTGTGAAAACCTTTAATGGGAGTCTTGCCTTTTTTGGAAATAGGGTCATTTTACATTTGCCCCAGAGTTAAGGAGTTGAGTTTTACCATTTTTAAATCCATTCATGTGATCTCCAGGTCTGGAGTACATTTCCTAAACAATGGCATGACACAGCTGAACTATCATAGTACGATGCATCGTTTGGGAAAAGGACGATGTAGTGACGAGTGCTTCCCAAAACTGTAGTTGCTCTGTCACAGATCAATCGTTTGAACCACTTTAGTTATAATGTAAACTTCCATATTGATGCTCTAAACAGGGTGGAGTAGGAACTTCTTTAGAGAAAAACCCCATAATTTTTCAAGCAAATTATATTGTTTTACACAAGCAATCCAACATTCGTTTTGCATATTAATTTAAATATATGTAAACGACACATAAAGGGCCTATGTTGCTTTTACAAAAAATATTTAGAATATTACATATTCTATTCTAAAACATAAACTAGCTAACACGTATTTTAATCTCTTATATAAATCATATAAATCGCTAATGGGGCGGCGCGGTGGCGCAGTAGGTAGTGCTGTCACCTCACAGCAGAAAGATCGCTGGTTCAAGCCTCGGCTGGGTAAGTTGGCTTTTTTTGTGTGGAGTTTGCATGTTCTCCCCGTGTTCGCGTGGGTTTCCTCTGGGTGCTTCCCCCACAAGTCCAAAGACATGCAGTACGTTGCGTACGATAAAATTGTCTGTAGTGTATGTGTGTGAATGAGAGTGTGTGGATGTTTCCCTAGAAACATGTTTGCGGCTGGAAGGACATCCCCTGTGTAAAACATATGCTGGATAGGTAGGCGGTTCATTCCCCTGTGGCGACCCCAGAATAATAAAGGGACTAAGCCGAAAAGAAAATGAATGAATGAATGAATGAATAAGTACACACAGTAGGCAATTTATTAAGAAGTAAAAAAAAATTCTACTTAATAATATTCATTTGTATTATTATTATTATTATTTATTTTATTTATTGTAAAAGTCTAAAAGTCTTTTTCTATGCAGATCATGGGCAGAGCCTCTGTCTGCCTGGTGACTGTAGCTTCATTGCTAAATGGCCACTCGATCCATTCAGTGGTGCACCCCGCTCTCAGTTCATAAACTCCTCCAGAATCTTAAGCTGGATGATGGAGGCTTTCACCGGTGCTTCCGGTTGAGCTGAGCCCAGTTTGATGAACTGTTGTCGGTGTCGGCAGGAGGATTTTTCCCCAGGACACCAACAACAGGTGCTACATCATAATCAAGCCCCTACAAGAGCAAGCACCTGATTAGTTAATGCAGCGCGAATGTCCGCTAAAGTTCAGATTCTCCAACTTGAGCGATGCGCAAGAAACTTGCATTAAGCATGTCAACCGCGTCAATCGGACAAAATGCGTCGCGTCGCATCATTTGCAGCACCTTATTTGCGTGTATCGCGCCACAGGTTGTCTATTCACGTCTTTGCATTGACTTAATATGTAAATCACTCGCTATTGACGCTTCTTCCGCCTCTGGTGTGAACGCAGCATAAGTGCACAATAGTCGCGTTCAGGGGCGCCACTGGCCTGTACAAGCCGTATGGCAAGGGCCAAAGAGGGTCAACTGGGGGTTCGGGTTGGAATGAAAGAGAAGGCAGAGTTTGCCCAAGTCTGATAAAGATGGTGTGTCGCCATTACACTAGTTTTCTAATCAAGCAGGAGTACATATGCCAAAAAATTAATTAATAAATAAATAAGTGAAAAAACAAAGCTACTGGTCAGCCTGATAAAAGCTCTTGCTCACACTGGCCTGACAGTGGAAATGCGGCTACTGTAACTACAGAAGAGTCAAGCTTTAACCTTTGTATGGTGTTCGGGTCTGTGAAACCGGTTTTTACTTTTTATCAAAATAAAATTATTACAAGTCATTATGTTTTAGTCTCAGACTCATTGGCTTTGGCTCATTTTCTATGAAGAACAGAAATCAGAATACATTTTTAATGACCCCCCTACACATTTACATTACTGTTTGGGTCCTTGTGGCTAAAGAAGGTGTTAAAACGGTAGGTCATGGGTACCTTAACTCTGTCCTTCTTGGGTGTGAACCCAAGTGGAACTCTATACACAATAGGTTATACATGCATCAAATGCAAAAAGTAAACATGTTCCACAGTAAATCTCCTCCTCATGTGTTGCACAGGCTGGCATGAAAAGCCAATGTGTTCAAGGGAAAGACAGGGCAAAAACGAGTAGCACTTTAACTCATATATGTGATCTAACAAAGGTAAATGGAAAATATTAACCATTAACAATGTTTATATTGCTTGAAATTGGGATGAAGTAAACATCTATTGAGTATGTTAACATGAATGTTTTTATTATGTTGAATTAAAAACCCAGCAATGGAGCGGGCTGCAGAAATTATTAGAGAGATTATAGGAGAGTAACATAAATATGAACACCACACAAGGGTTAAATAGGAAAATGATCTAAACTCTTTGGTCATTTTTGAGCGAGATGCTAATGGTCTAATGCATTTAATTGACTTATGCTAAGCTAAGCTAAAATTGCTCCTAGGGATCGACTAAATGGATTCAAAAATGGTAAAACTGTAGATGACCTGTTAAATGTGCCTATTTCCAAAGAAGTGGAGTGTTTCTCTTAGGAGAGGTGTGTGAAAGTCACACCTCATAGTGACTATGTCGGGTTAAATTTTATAAATAGAAGAAAATTCCATTAAAAAGTAGCATAAAGGTATAGTCCACATGACATTTCTTTTTTTTAAAGTCGCATTTCATGAAAGAGCTGTTATATTTTATATGAATGATTTCTGTAAACAATAAGACTGTGATTCTTCTTTTTTTTTTTAGCCCTACCAAGGCCAGTCTGTATGGAGCCATTTTATTCACTCTCCAGGAGGCTCACGTGCTCCCTGTGTCGAAGAGCACACTCATCTGCCTCTTCACACTTTTCATGGTCTCATCCAAGGTAATACTCAGCGTAACAGTGGCATGTAAAAACAGAAAACTGGCCATTCATACCTTAATATAGTGGGGTTTCCATCATGAAGGGAATTAGGGCTGCACAATATATTGTTTCGGCATCGATATTGCAATGGGTGTGTCCGCAATAGTCACATAACAGGATCTGCAATGTTGAGATGGGATAGATGACCAAATTAATGAAAGTTTATAATCTGCATGTATTATTAAGGCATGTGATCAGAGGTGTGAACCTACACTAGTCTCACGGTTCGGTTCGGTTACGATTATCATGCCATCGATTTGGTTCAATTCGATATTTCGGTGCATCACGGTGCATTGACGGTGCTTTCCATACACAGTTTTATATTTTCTTCACAGCAGCATTTCTTGTATTAAAATGTATGAATATATTTATATTTAAATACTATTTGTAATATAATTTTGTAATTTAATACAAACAGTCAGATATATAAACTGTAACTTTAAACAAAACGAGCATTTAGCAAATAATATAAACAAATATAAATATCCAGCTCAATTTCTGATCCTTGTCTAGTTCTCTTACACCTCTTTGATTGGTCACACCCTCAAAAAAAAAAAAAAAAAACGGTTGCGATTGGCTCTTGCGCGCTGCGTTCTTCACAGATGAGTGATGCTGATAAGCGGCAGGCGGCAGCGGCGATCTCACAGCTATGATAGACACGGTGGAGAAAACTCTGCAGACACGCGCTCGTTTCTGGATGCAAAAGTAACGCTGTAAAACAGCCGAGAAGAGAAGCCACGCCAGCAGGTCAAATGGGCCCACTTGTGAGAAAGAGAGAGAGAGAGAGACAGAGACAGAGCGCGCACGCAAGAGAGAGAGAAAGAGAGAGAGAGAGAAATGGAGTAGGCTACTTTCATTCTCTGGATCTCAGTGAAATAGGGCTATTGTTGTATATGTCAGTGAAAGACTGATCCAGCAAACACACACAGTGAAATTGTGCACAGTTTATGAGTTTTAAGTAGCCTAGTTAAAGCGCTGTAAATACTCGCGATCGCCTCCCTCGTGACAGAGCGCATATGAGGTAAATGACGTCAGTAATAACCGGTTATGATTATTACTGAACCGATATCGAATTGTCCATGTCTGCATCGCAGTGCACCGAAAAAACGATTATTTTTGACACCCCTACATGTGATTCAGAAAAGTAACCAAAGGCAACAGCACTCTAAAAAATTATTGACTGTTGTAACCCAAAATTGGGTCATATATGGCAAAACTCAACATTGGGTTAATTTTTTGACAACCCAGTAATGTTTAGAGCAGAGATGGGCAATCTCGTTCCTGGAGGGCTGTGTGCAGATTTTGCTTCTAATCAGAATTTTCAAGATCAGTAGAAACCTATAGGCAAGTTATAGTTGGAGCTAAATTCTGCAGGACACCAGGGGCCTCATGTAGCAACGCTGCGTATGCACAAAAACTTTGGGTACGCCAGGTTTCACGCTCACGTTTGGATTTATTAACAATGAAATGAACGTCAGAGTGTGCGTTAGTCCACGCCAAATTCATGTCTGGCGTTCGTGCATTTCTAGTGTGTGTTTGTTTTGTTTCTACTGGCGACTCCTAGAGGCAATTGTGTTAAGTTGCACACTACAAAGTACTTTTGAGCCGTGCAATGGCAGCTGTATGGGGGGGATCATCCTCATATCTAGCAGGTTTGTAAGGTTTCCATACCATGCAGTTACCAGCCAAACATTAAATCGAAATCGAAACATTATTTTGCCAATGTAATCTTATCGATCGACTGCAAGCACATTGCTATAAAGGCACCATCTGAAGACGAGATTACATACGTGAATCAGAAACATTTCCATTCAATAAATGTGCAAATAATATGTGATGCTTAAATGCGCTTAACATAATTGGATTGGGCACGGGGGCACTTTAGATCATTTTGGAAGGGCACTTTCTGTCCAAGACTAAAAAGGGCATGTGCACTGCACAGGTTAAGCCTTATTTGTGCACGTGCCTGGTTATCAGTGTTGGGCAGTAGCGTCGCTTCATGTAGTGACGCTACTATCTTAACTACATTTGTCAGTAGTGTGTCGGTAGTGTCGCTACTTTCTAAATTAAATAGCCTTCAGTGGTGAAGCTATTTTAATAGTCAAGTAGCGCAGTAGCGTCCACACAAGCTACTTTTAACCGATAGCGGATCAATAAGTGAAGGCACCAATATTCACGGAGCTGTGAGCCCGGTGTCTAGCCAATGAAAGTAAATCCATGGCTGCTTCCGAAACCGCCTACTACTCAGTAGGTACTGCTTTTGAATTTAAAGGTACTGCTCGGCTGTTAGAAAAGTACGTTCTATACAGTATGAATGTGAAAAGTATGAATGAAATTCGGACCTACTACATCCGCCATTTTGTCATAGTCATGTGACCTACCTGCGTCAGTTGCGTCGCATCACTTCCATTCATGAATTCTCTCGTGGGGCATTATTATAATCTCGCCAGAAGTAGTAAGTCATCCGGGTACTTCTCTCATACTGATTTTCGAATTCTATGAATTCGGACATACTACTCGGCTCGCATACTGATTTTAGCGTACTATATAGTATAGATGTATGCGGTTTCGGACGTAGCCAATATGATGGCGAGAATGACGATTTCTTCTTCTTCCTGTTTTACTGGGTTCGACAACAAAGTTTTTGGTGCGTTACTGCCGTCTCTGGTTGGCCAAGCGAATCTTGCTTGATGAAAAATGACTGAGGGAGAGGAGTTATTTCTGAAGCAAGATTCCTCGTAAATGTGTAATGTGAATTTTTTGTTTTAGCTGTTGTGTATGTGTTTCTGTTTAGTACAGCATATTATTTACAGTAAATAAGTGAAATGAACTATTATCCCTCATATGCTTCATTGACAGTTGTATTGATTACTAACGGCCCATTCACACGAGGCTTAAGCGTCAACGCTTGACTAAAGGCGTGTCTGAAGTTGAGGCGGAAGCGATCGTCATAGAAGCGTTAGCCAATGAAATTCAGTCAGCTATAGGCCACTGTCTAGCTGGTGTATTTGCATACAGCAGTCTGATTGGCTGACGCTATTATGTACGTTGTTTATGTTTTTTAAAACGCAAAACAGAATTTGTGCTGTTCAATGCGTGTGCTCTAGGGATGTATGTCCTCACCAATGTCTAGAGCGAATCTACGCCCTTAGATGGTAGTGTTCTTGTGTCAAAAAATGTTAATCTTTGGTTGAGTTTTTATTATACAATAATAATTGTAATGGTTTTTGAATCTTGCACTTAATATCCTAGTTTACAAAAAAATACTGAAACTAATAAAAAATTTCAAAATATAGAAACTAATAAAAACTAGTAAATCAACCTCTAAAACTAATTAAAACTGACTGAATCTGAAAACAAAAAATCAAAACAAAATAAAACTTAAAACTATTGAAAAATCAGAAACTATTACAACCTTGTTGTGGACACATTATACCTACACACAGTACTGTCCAAACATCTTCCACGAGTTGATTTTGCATCATAGGTGCCCTTTAAAACCTTTTTGTTTTATTCACTACACAGGTGTTCATGACAGCTCGTCACTCTCATGGATCGCCCTTCGCCCTCATCGAGTCTTGGGTGTGCCACGTGCTATTCGGTTCCCCCCTGGGTACCGAAGACGCCCATGATCACCACCATGCTGCTCCAGCTGCTGCCCCTGCACCCCTCTCTCCTGCCAAAAACAAGGAGGAACTGAGCGAAGGAACCCGCAAGAGGAAGTCAAAGAAAGCAGAGTAGATTCACAACACAGTCATCAACCCAATCTGTCATACAGCAGAGCGCCTCAGTTCTGCTTCAGAAAGGATGGAATTTGATGTTAAACCAATGAGCTTCTCTTTCAATGGTGCTTTTTAACGACAGACATGCCACGTAGGGACTCTGTAAATAGCTTCCCCCTCTTTGCCAGCGTCTGTGTCTTTATTTATTTTTCATAATGTTTCCCATCAGCAAAAGTCCTGTTTATCTGATGATGTGCAGACACGTCACGAACAGATGAATGATCGAAAAGCAGCGAGATGAGAATCTGCTTCCATCCTTTTGAGTTCACAAATCAAGGAAGGGTCCGTAGAAATAAGACTTAATTGTCCACTGCTGGTTGACCCTAAATTCCACAGCACACTGCTGCTTTTTACATCTAGTTGCATTGAACAAAACAATATATTTTCCAAAACTGAATTAAATAATTTTTCAACCAAATGCTGAAGTTGTTGCAAATTCTTCCAACTGTTCTGACGTTGCATATTTGTTTTAAAAATGTTCACCTAATAATATAATGTTTGATTTAATCCTCACAGGGAAGCCAATTACATAACAATATACTATGTTGGTGTGAAAAACATACGTTGCACCTGCACCAAAGCCGTCAATGTGCCTCAGGGCCAGAGTGGGACTCCTTTTCAGCCCTGGAGTTTCAAGCCTTAGACCGGCCCACCTCAGTTCACGACTATATTAAAATAAGGTCATTTCCAATTCAGTTTCTAATTACACTCACGTCTTTTTGAAGAAAACAGCTGCTTTAGAACTTCAAATGTTCAACAACCTTACAGTTTTATATGTCTTAACAATAAAAAAGAAAAGAAAAAAAAAATTACTCAGGTGAGGATCGAACACTTCGTAACGCAACGTGCTGACCACTGGACCACAATGGTGGTGTTACACTTATGTGGCCGGATTGATTTTTACATCATCATTACCTTGCAGGCTGTATTTTGTTCATGGGGCGGATCTGCGGCAAAATAATAAATAAAAAGAGTGAGGCTATGGTCAAATAAATAAATAATCGAAAAAAAGTGCGACGGCTGAGAGTGCAAGCAGCTAGAAACACCGGCCCTCGTGGCCAAAAAAACGGACCAGCCCACCGAGAACTCTCCCAGTCCTCCTGATTGGCCAATCCGGGCCTGATGTGCCTTTTTAAACTATGCCTTATCACTTTATATACCCCTAATGTGTACTTATGTGTTTCCTAATGGTTCATATTAAAGAATTTATTAGTATGAAGGAATTACCAACCTACGTCACACTTGTTCCCGGTTGCAAAAAAGACCAGTTGCAATAGCAAACATATTGTGTTGTGCAGTAGAATTTCCGAAAATAAAAAAATAGAAACTCAATTTTACCATACACCACACTGCTTTTAATGCCAACTGCAGACGTCTTTGGCTAAAAGGGAGCTGAATGGAGTGACGACCTAATTAGAAATGCTCGACTCTGCAGTTTTCATTTCATATCAGATAAGTTGACGCTATGCTGAATCATATACACATTTTTCTCATTTTTGGTTGGAGCAATGTTTTCAGCAAAAACAGTTAAATATGGTGAAATAAACTGCAGACACTGAATGCTGAGAATAAATATACAATATAATTTTTACTTACATTTTTATCAAATCAATGCAGCTTTCTTTTAAAGTAAATTCTTTTTAAATATCCAGTGAGCGGCAGTTCTGTGTGCGCAAATGCCTTGTTAAAGCCAGAGGTCAGAGGAGAATGGCCAGACTGGTTTGAGCTGTTAGAAAGGCAACAGTAGCTCAAGTAACCACTCGTTACAACCGAGGTATACAAAAGAGCATCTCTGAACGCACAACACTACATGTAATGGTGTCGGGGATATTTTCTTGGCACACTTTTGGCCTATATAGTACGCGCATTGTGTCAACGCCACAGCCTACCTGCAATAGCATCTGCTACCTGAGTATTGTTGCTGACCATGTGATGCTATCATGTCAATATGGAGCAAAATCTCTGAGGAATATGTCCAGTACCTTGTTGAATCTATGCCACAAAGGATTAAGGCAGTTCTGAAGGCAAAAGCGGGTCCAACCCAGTACTAGTGAAGTATACCTAATAAAGTGGCCATGACTATATATATGTGTGTGTGTGTGTATGTATGTATATATATATATATATATATATATGTGTGTGTGTGTGTGTGTGTGTGTGTGTGTGTGTGAAGTGTTCCTTCAAGCGTTCCTTTCAGCCCAAGTATCTTTGCACTCATTTAATTTCACCCACGCCATCCAGGCTCCCTGTTGTCTTAAACCAACCATCCTACTATTTTCTGTTTTCTTTGTTTTCTGACAACATTAATAGATTTGTTCATTCATTTTCTTTTCAGCTTAGTTCCTTTATTTATCAGGGGTCACCACAGCAAAATGAACTGGCAACTTATCCAGCATATGTTTTACGCAGCAGATGCCTTTCCAGCTGCAACCCATCACTAGGAAACATCCATACACACTCATTCACACACACATACACTATGGCCTATTTAGCTTATTCAATTCCTCTATAGTACATGTCTTTGGACTGTGGGGGGAACCGGAGCACAAAAACAAAACAGTTTGAGTTACTGACATCTATTTGTTAATACAAGTCAGGCCAATGTTGTAGGAGAACGATTTGTCCTGCATTCTGGCCTAACTATAACACAACTTACTGAAACAGATACTGTATTTTCTCACACTGCCAGCAGATGGCGCCCGACTTCCAGAGATTTCTCAACGAAGCAGTGACTGTTTAGACCACAGGAGTCAAACTCAGTTTCTGGATGGCCGAAGCTTTGCACAGGTTTAGCTTTAACACTAAACTCCTTATCATAATTGATGCAGGTGTGTTGAGGCAACTTGGTACTAAAATCTGCATGACACCAGCCCTCCAAGACTGAGTTTGGGCAGCCCTGGTTGAGACTAAGGAGTAGATAAGTCATCAATTGGTTTATACTTTACTCTTACTAGTCAGAGGCAATTTATGGAAGTCAGTTTTTTTTCAAGTACACCCTCTTTTAGGTGTTACGAATGAACTTTCTCAATAACTTTGTTACTTTAAATGTATCTGTGCACTTCATTAATTTGTAAAAATGTATTAAATCTTTCACCAAACATCATAAAATAAGTGGTTGCATTCAATTTGTATGAGCGGAATTTAAACAGGTCAAAGCAGTGGCGCAGTAGGTAGTGCTGTCGCCTCGGCAAGAAGGTCGCTGGGTCGATTTTTTTTTTCTTCTGGAGAAAGTCTTAATTGATTTATTTTGACTAGAATAAAAGCATTTTTTAATAATATATATTTTAAACACAATTTAAGGTCAAAATTGTTAGCCTCTTTAAGCTATATTTTTTGGATAGTCTATAAACCATTGTTATACAATAACTTGCCTAATTATCCTAACCTGCCTAGTTAACTAATTAACCTAATTAAGCCTTTAAATGTCACTTTAAGCAGTATAGAAGTGTCTCAAAAAATATCTAGTCAAAGATTATTTAAAATATATTCTACTGTTTTTGTATTGTATTTTGCTTGTAGAGTTTACTTCCGTTTTAGTCTTATTTAAGAGTGCTTTTTACTGAATGTACCGAACCGTACAGAAAACGTGACCTAAAACCGAACCGTGAGAAGAATGTTTTATTGCACCCCTAATAGAGAGTACAGTAAAATAAGACTTTAATACCATAAAAACCACAATACTCTGCCGTATACGGTTACAGTACAACAACTACAAAAGGCTAAAGTCCCGCTTGCACAGCTGTCATCGAATGGAATGAGAGTTGTTACATAAGCTAAATTAATATATTTCACCTATATATTAAAATTCGTGTTTACTTCTCTTTCTTTAGTGAAATACATGTGTTTAGGTTGCAGAGCTTACCGTAAAACAACAAGTTATATTATATTATACATTTCATAAATTCGCTGAAGCCCCCAACCAATCAATGAGCTCCCCAGGTGGTCATGTGACCGGAGCAGGAAGAATGAGTGAGCGGTTATTATAGGTGCTTTGAATCGTTGGTACACGCGGTGTTCTGATTGAGTCGAGAAATGGCACCTACAGGTAAGAAATACCTAATTCCAGCGCTTGTATTATGTCGTGAGGATATAAAAACGTAAACCTAACAGTCTTGTTTTTGAGAGAAATTCTTAACATTGTATTTTTGTCTCGTTAGCGTGCTGAGCTAATATACGGCGGGTCAGCTGTGATGTTCGGGTCAGCTGGTGCCGCTCAGCTCAGCTCTGCATCCGCACTCAGAATCTGACATTGAAAACACGAGATTTGCCATTAAGTTTGTCTTCACACCGACCAGGCCTAAAGTTTTATGATGCTAAAGATTCGTTAATCATTACGGTGTCCGCATTTAGAAAACCATTGTCTTGATATTGTGACGCTTTTTATTATTTATAATGCTGCTTTAGCGTCAACATATTTAGACGTCGCGTTGAATCGAGCTCGTTGACCAGGATTTAATAACTCGCTATAAAACGTAACTTATCAAATTTAAAGAAAAAACGGGAGTGTAATTTAATTTAACAATTATTTAATTCGTTTTATGTTCGTTAAACTAGCTTTTAAACTACCACATCCATTTTTTTCTTTGAATATATGCTTGTTTTCATTCATCCTCAGGGCAAGAAGTAACAGCTGATCATGCTTTTAATTTGGTTTTCTTTTGCTTATGCATACTCTCAGGTATGAATGTTCTGCTGTTATATAAAGCGCACGCACACACACACACGTGCAAAATAAATTTAATTGTGTGTTTTGTATATAAATGTAAATGTCTATATAGAAGTATATATTTTAAAATTCATATTTTATAAATTAATGCCTTTATGGACTTTTTTGCTATTTTTAAAACAAATTAAAACATTTATAAATTTATTTTTCATTCATTTAAATAAGGTATTTAAATCCATTGAAATAAATTGCCTACTTATTTTGTAAGATAATACAATAAAGTAAAATTGAAAAACACTTTACTTGATCTATGATAAATCTATAGCAAGCTGACTAATAAAAATGTTTATGGAAGTTTCTTTGAATGGTTTAAAATGCAATTCTTTTATTGCATATTTTTATTTTAAATAACATACACGCACTGTTTTCTTGACCTAAAATACTTTTTGACACCGTTTGGTTTGAGGCTTGAATGAAATATCTTTTATTTCAGCATATATTTAAAATAAACTAGAACATAAAATAGTTTAATTTTACCATATGGATATGCATAGTATAATATTAAGGATGTTGCATATAATCCCTTAAACATGTATCTTATAGTTATTTAGGTGTGAGCATATCATGCTCAGAAGCAGCTTTACAAAAAATAGATAAAACATAAAACAAAATTGCTAGGAAAAATGGCAAACAATGCACTTTTATTTTTAATTAGTGTATTTAAATCCATTAAAATAAATGTCCTAATTATG